GGGGGTGGGGGGGGGTGGGGGGGGTTGTGTGGGGGGGGGGGGGGGGGGGGGAGAAGAGGGAAATGTATTCTTATTGTTTAACAGAGCGATTAATTCCAATTAATTTTTTTAATTGCTTGACAGCCCTAATTAAGTCATGTATCTCAATATTTAATTTGGTTTTAAATCTGACAGCATAAAAAGGCTAGTTCCTGGCTAAAATTTTCAAACCCAACTAGGGATTTAGCCATCCAACTCTGCTCAAATGAAGAGACTAGTGGCAAAATCTACTTGTCAGCTTTGAAAAAAATCTCACTCCCTAGAGATAAAAAAAATTATACCCTAAGTACTTTACTAAAAAAAGAAGCCAGGCCAGTGAAATAGGTGAATACCAGAGACTATTAGGCCTAAGCTTTACTTACCTTATAAGTGTCATTTCACAGGAGAAATCCTGATTCCACTGATAATCTTTTCCACTTACCAATTTTCAGCGTAAAATACTTTAATCAAGCTATAAAGCCTCTGAAAAGAGACCATTTAATATTGCTGTACTTGGAGCATCACTATAAGGAAGAGGAAATCTCAATTCTCCAACAAACGGAGAAAACTTGTATCCCCTTTATGAGGAACCTTGTTTTCTGAATACATTCTCTGAATTAAAAGTGTGAGAAAGTAAAGTTCTGAAAGCTGGGATAGTGGGAGTTAAATATAATCCTTATAATGCAAACTGTAAACCTTCTCTATGAAGTAGACAGATATGAAGAAGTAGGCTTTAGAGTGATCACTGTAATCTGAACAACTGGAAGAGCTACCGATGTCTACAGTTTGGAAAACACAGAAAATGTTAACATTTTTTCCCCACATTTTATTGAAGGAAATTTAATGTACAAAATATTTCCAGATCCATGTGCACTTAGTCCTCCTCTTCCTCTTCCTCTTCATCCTGGTTAATCTGGAAGTATCGCAATTCATAGCTTTCCTTGCTATTGGCAACTACACGCAGCCAGTCACGCAAGTTGTTCTTCTTCAGATATTTTTTAGTAAGGTATTTCAGATATCTGTGAAAAGAAGGCAGCCAATCACTGAAATGGACACTGTATAAAGATTACTTATTCTACATTACATGCTCTTGAAATCTTGAATGATATTTAACTGAATTTCCCTACCTTGCATTATTTAATCATGCCTTTCATTTTCATCTCGGATAACAAAAAAAACCCAGTTTGTCTTAACATTTTCCTCTCACGCTTTATAAGAAAATTACAATATGATTGGCTGTAATGATGTAGATTGTAACGTGCCATTTTACTTCTCAAACAAAATGTGTAGGTTGAAAGTATTTTTTTCATGTTCAAATTTGCAACATTTGCCTAATAACAGCACTTAATATTATCTTTTCTGAAGACACTCCCTTGTGGGATGCTACCAACTAGCTCACCTTAGAAGGACAAATTATCTTTTCCATTAATGTTTTGACAAGCAGCTTTAAAAACAATTTTACTTAAAAGAAAAAGAATTGTCACTTTTGTGAGAAATTACTTTTCTGCAAGCCAAAAGCATTATATTACTGCAAAAGTGACTGGAGTTTATATTGCTCACAATACAGCATTGAGAAAGCAAAGCAAGACAAAAGAATGCGCTCTAAACACAAAAGAAAAGCACATTTAACAATCCATTCCATCAAAGCTCAGATACTATGAGCCAACTTCTCATAGACCTTACTTGAACAAAAACTCCCACTGGAATCACCAAAGTAAAGACAGCAGAACAACGTGCATTCAATTCAGAGGATTCTAAAAATGAGATACTACGAATCAGTGTTCCCTGGAAGCCGAGTGCCTGGGCGGCCACCGAGGAAAGATTCAAATTCCACCCAACTGATTGGCAGAATGACTGCAGCCAGCAGCATGTGTTTCTACTGGTGGTGCACATATGCACATGCCTCAGGTGCACATAAACTTTATTCCACGCATGGATGGAAAAAATCAGAGGCAACGCTGCTATGAATCACAGAATAAATCTTCTGTAATCGAGGTATGCCTATAAAGAAAGGCTAGCAGTTCTCTTCCTCTCCCAAAACTAAAGCAATTCACACTGATGAGAAACAGCAAGGGGGAAAAAAAAGATACAAAATTCAAGTTTTTTGATACCACAGAAATTTAACCACCCAGAGGTGTAAAATCACCCAGAGAGAAATGGGCCAACTGACATTTTTGAATTCTTTATTTAGTTATTATTGCAGAAGTGCTCTTCTCAGAACGTGTCAAATCGCGTGACATGCAGGACACACTCCCTGCGTAGAAGGACAACACACAAAGGTAGGTAACATACATGCAAAATAATGTGTTGTGTGTATAGTTTATATATAAAAACCTGGACCTAAGCGTTAGGATCTAGACAGTCAAGCCTCCCTCTTAAGGCCTATACTTTAAGAATGTAGGCGTATTTTACAGGGGTCTAAAAACAAAGAATCAAAATCACTTCCTATTCGTATATAACTGTCTGAGCTAAGGCTTTTGGTTAAGCAGCCAGGGCAGCCATAAGCTGGGAAATCAGTCCTGACATGTTCCAAACCAGTCATATTGAACAGAGAAAGGAAAAAGCCTAGAAACTTCGGTGGACAGCTTTCAGTCTGGCAAGGACTCATTTATCAACAGTTGGGGTTCTGAAATCCACATCTCTTTATTGCTTTGTCATTATGCTCCCCATCTCTCTATTGTTTATCTGTATGGCTCTTTCTTTGTTTCCTGTATAGATAATTTTGCTAGGTGTAAACCAATTAAGATGGAATATAACCAATTGAACAATTATGTTACAATATGTTAGGATTGGTTAGTTAAATTTTAGTAAAACGTTTGGTTACAGTATACCTGAAAATATTACTAAAATAGTATGTGAGATCCACTGTTGACTGGGCAAAGTGATTCTGCGTAGATTACACTTGTAGGAAAGTTCAAGAAAGTAAATATATGTCCTAGAAATTTTTTATTAATGTGTTTGTAAAAGATCAGTTTTAAATTGGTGGGATTTCAACTTCAAACATTGTTAATTTTATTGAATATTTACCATACATAGTATGTTTGAATCAGAAACTTGTAAAGCTTCCATTACTCTTTCCATAGCTAACTTGAATTATTTTGCTTTAGGGGGTAGCCGAGTTAGTCTGTACAGGATAAACTTAAAAATCCACAAATGGTCTGGTAGCACTTTATAGACTAACAAAACATGTAGATGGTATCATGAGCTTTCATGGGCACAACCCACTTCTTCAGATGAAAAAACTCCGGTCATCTGAAGTGGGCTGTGCCCACGAAAGCTCATGATACCATCTACATGTTTTGTTAGTCTATAAAGTGCTACCAGACCATCTGTTGTTTTTTAAAATTATTTTGTGATTTGTAACTGAAAATTTTCTTTGAACTAAAAAGATAGTTGAATAGGAGACTTAGATTTTAAAATTGTTAGCAAATATTTTGTATGAACTATAATCATAGTGGTCATGATTTTTTTCCAATGAAAAAAAATATTTAGACCTTTCACCCAGCATATTCCAATGTAAAAAGTAAGTGCATTCAGCTAATTTAAGTAGCACAATTGCTCATGCAAAATTTGGTATCTGTAGGTAATCACGAAGTATGACTTTATTTTGCACAAACAAATCCATAAACAAACTCACTCTTCAAAATATATAATAGATATATTAGGAAAAAACAGGATGTGAGTGAGGAAAAAAAGGTAAAAAGAAAAGGAAACTGAATGCATACTTGTTACAGACTGGGGACCGAATGGCTAAGTAGCAGTTCTGCAGAAAAGGACCTGCGGATTAAAGTGGATGAGAAACTGGATAGGAGTCAACAGTGTGTCCTTGTAGCCAAGAGGGATAAAGGCATATTAGGGTGCACTGGGAGGAGCACTGCCAGCAGATAATCAGCAGAAAAGTGATTATTCCCCTTTATTCGGCTTTGGTGAGGCCACATCTGGACTACTATGTCCAGTTCTGGGGCCCCCACTATAGAAAGGATGTGGACGCACTGGAGAGGGTCCAGCGGAGGGCGACCAAAATGATTAGGGGGCTAGAGCACATGACCTACGAGGAGAGGCTGAGGGATTTGGGTTTGTTTAGTCTGCAGAAAACTAGAGTGAGGGGGGATTTAATAGCAGCCTTCAACTTCCTGAAGGGAGGTTCCAAAGAGGCTGGAGAGAGGCTGTTCACAGTAGTGACGGATGGCAGAACAAGAAGAAATGGTCTCAAGTTACAGTGGGAAAGGTCTAGGTTGGATATCAGGAAAAACTATTTCACTAGGAGGGTAGTTACCTAGGGAAGTGGTGGAATCTCCATCCCTAGAGACTTTTAAGTCTCGGCTTGACTTAGTTGGGATTGGTCCTGCCTTGGGCAGGGGACTGGACTTGATGATTCCTGAGGTCTCTTCCACCGCTATGATTCTATAAGTCTATGAAAACTAATCCAATGAACAGCAAATTGTTTGTATCTCCGGACTTTGGGTATTGCTGTTCTCTCTTCATGTAAGCAGGAGGATGCAGGGAAGTGGGATAGTGAAGGGATAAATCCTCTAGCATCTTGGTGCCATGACTCAGATGCATCATGTCAGACAGGTGAGTGGCAGCCTGTAAGTCCCCCTCCCCAATAGTCTGCACAGCTGTTTGGAGGGATTTAGTATGGCAGACTCATGATGGTAGTTACAGGATCTGGCAAGCCAGGATGAAGGATTTATTGGATAAAGCAACGTGGAAAAATCAGGGCCCATTTTAGGTATTGCCAGGACGGGGGCGGGGGGCAAACCTTGCATGAGATTAAAAAGGAAATGGAGGCAGCATTAGGGGACCCAAGGGATGGGGATGGGCAGAGTATATGGGTAGTAAAAGATCCACGTGGTCTGTTGTGAGGGAAAACCAAGGCACAGCACCTCAAATAAATGGTAAAATCATTCACTAGCATGCTTATAAAACAAAAGCGCAGGTAACTATGGGGGAAATTCCTCCGCTCTGCCTGCAATCAGCAAAAATATTTTTTAAAGTATGTTAAGCAATAATCTGCAACCCCAAAAGAGACAACAAATAATTCTTTAAAAAAATGTCAGAAAGCTGGCACCAGCTAAAAAGCAACTAAGAGTACTATAAATCTACTATTGCAACAAAAATTGTTGTTTTGTGTTCTTGTTGCTAGCACTGTTGTTTCAATAAACAAAAAACCTCAAGAGAAGGGTGGGGAATGACTTCAAAAGGCTAACTTGGGGGGAGGGGGAGACCCGAAAGTGTTATAAAAAAGCAAAATGTTCAACTAAGGAACCAGCACACATATAGGTAATCTAATACCTTAAAATAAAACAACAAAACAACTAAGGGTGACCCCCATAAGCCCCATGGAAATATCTAAAAGGGAAAAATCTCACTGGGAGATAAATAAAGGGGGGGGGGGATAAATGGTGTAAGTTGCTCGATTCAGCTAAATAATTATTTATCCAAACAAAACATACAGATGTGCCCTTCCCCAATGGTCATAAAACAGCACACCAAATCCCCAAATCCCCTACAGCAAGTGGTGAACAGCTGGGTGTCACGGGCATAGTGTATGGGGTGTTTTGCTGGGAATTAACGTATTACCGGGGGCACAATTACACCAACACATAACCAAATCACACACCTCTACACACTGCTCCCTGAATTTGGTGCACAAATAAATTTGTAAAACTTAGAGAGGGTGAAAGGATAAATCCCTCCCCTAACATTAAACTTCAAGCTTCCCTCAGCCTAGTCCTTCCTAATTTTGGAAGAGTAGAAACATTTATATCTTGTAAGTGGATCTACAGACATGAGGCTTTTCACATTTGGTTGAGACAATGGCAGAGGTTGGATTATGAGGATGAAAGGGGGTTCCAGGCATAAGGGGACAGCCTGGAAGAAGGCAAAATGATGTCAAAAGACATAACAGGAGGATATCAAGGTTAGCATGGGAACAACAGGAAAAAGAAAGGCAGGTCAATGGTGTAGGCAGAAACTACTCATGGAATCTCAGAACTGGAAGGAACTTTGAGAGGTC